AACCCTATTTAAAATCATTGACTCCGGTAAAAAATACTGTGAATAAAAAAGTAAAAGGCGAAAATCGCTTGAAGGATGTCAAAGATGTTTCTTCATTTTATAAAATAAATCTCTGATAGTATTCATCTCCATAAAATCATCAAAAACTTAAGATAACATATATTATTTCAATGACCCATTGATATTTAGTATCATAGGTATTTAATTAAGTTAGCAATCTCGTTCTGTGTCCACTTTATACGTAAATATTGTACATATCTATCGAAATACAAAGATCGTTATAGAATGAAGCATAAAGCCAAAGAAAAATATAATTAATCAGATAAGAAAAAAAGCATTATATTATAAAATAGCTATAACGTGAACCGACTGTGGAATCTCTGATTATAGCTACAACTAGATATATGTAAACGAGGGAACACGTTTTCGTCATTGGGTTTACGTAGGTATTCTTTTCAAATGGTTTTTACAGTATTGTACATACAAGTAGTGTTTACCTGTGTGACTTTTACATAATCATAAACAAGCGTAACATTGACATATAACAAAGTCTAAAACAGTACGAGTACAATTTGAAACCAAAAAATGAGTCGCTCGTAAATCTCCATACCAAAACTCAACACAAACCTCTACTAACAAAAGCAAATTAGTATATATTCACGTTTCATGATATATAATCATGTATACGATATTTCATCGATCATTAAGAATTAACGTGATAACGAAAAAAGTATTGGTGTGTTTTTAATTACCTGACGCATCAAACAGGTTGCATTGCTGCGGTGACAGGCTGACAGAGAAGTCAACAAAAACAATGTTCATTACCGTTCATTCACGTAAATGCATAACGTTCATTTATGCACGTCCATTCTTTCTGGTATTTTGCCATATAGATTCGGGAGAAAAAAAAATTCATAGATACAACTCAAATAAAATTGTTTCTTCAATATTTTATCTGCAAGTATGTTTAAGGTAGTATTCTATTTGTATAGTATAATAAATTGACCATGGAATGAAAACTGAAACAACTGTCCTGTTTTTTTTTCTTTTTTATAAGACAACTGCCGCATTAGGAAACTATCCTGTGTCGCGGGGGACTTCACAAATATACATGAAACGGACACAAAGAACACCCAGACTCAGAACAACAATTTGTGGATCACACAAAGTGTCGAACCATGTGGCGACCGAACCCACAACACTCGGCGTAGTAGGAAACGGCGTGGCGACCGCTTAAACCACTACGCCATCCGTGCAGTCTGTATTAGGAATAATGTAGTTTTATGTATTATGTATAACGCATGGTCGGCTATTAATAAGTACCTCATAGGTTTAACATTTCCATAATGAAATAGTTCACAGCTAGGGTCATATTTCACACTATGCAAATATTTCATAATAATCGTGAACAATTCCGAGTTCAACAGCATTTAACAATCAAAAAGGGCGGCTGGCGGCAGGCGCTGACCGCTCAGCTAGCTAAGCTGCCTCGTTTCTTTCAACACATGCTTGAACAATGCTCTACTTCCGATCTAATGAATGCAAACAACGCTTCAGAATTCTGTGAGAAAATAAATTATTAAAATGATTACATTGAATTTCTTAATAATAATACATTTATGGTTGAAATCTATTATCAGCATCAGCCTATCGCAGTTTACTGCTGGACATAGGCCTCTCCCACTACACGCCACTTAGATTTATTTTAGGCTTCTAGCATTTTTCTTTCTTGAAAGCTATGCTACGTATAAATAAGTGATGACTAGAGCTGGAATAAAGTTACATAATATGCGATGAGCATAAAAGATACAGGAACGGATGGTTGTAATAATGTCTATGCTTGAGGTTTTTTCAGCTTTTAACGTATGCTATTAATAAATGTAGTTTTGTAGAACGGGTAATAAGTTAATAAATGTCAAATACCATTATATTCCCATCATGTAAAAGACCAAAAGGGCAGGAATGCAGATATTCTTATTCAAAAACTACATATTTAAAAAAACATAAATATATCAATTGCTTTGTCAAGATGACTCATTGTTTACTTTATTTTAAAATTTCTTAGTTACTTAAATTGATTGTTAGTTTAGTTAGTATTAAGGTTAAAGATTTTTAAGTAGGTAGTAGAATTCCATGCGAGCTTCTTATCACACATGAGCGGTTCTTCTTGGAAGGTAATAACAAAATCCTTTACAAACGAATGTTTTATTATTATGTTCAATAAAACTTGAAATATTTTAGCACTGTTCTGAATGACCTTCGACTTGAAGTTTATCCGTTATTGTTTGTGGTTAACCTTAAAGTGGCATTTGACTCCCTATTTCAAATATTTATTATTGGAATTATTTCAACCAATAAATCCACCAAACATCTTACTAATAATTACCATTTATCCCATTAATGGATCGCACCAAAAATGTGATCGGGCCGCAACATTTAGTAATAAGCTGATGGAGGCCACTGGCTTCACCTGGTACACCCCGTTATAAAAAAAACAAAGGTGATGACGGAGTAAAAAACAGAAAAAAATGATCGGTTGTCTCATGCAAACACGATGTCATTGCTTTCAAATATTACAAAACGTATGCTATATTTATAAAAGGACAGCTTAAAATAGTAAAACAAAGGATTAAGTACTGATTTGTCATAAGAAACTAAATGAATAAAATATTTCAAACTCTACAATTATTCCATCGTCTGAGGTTTTATTCATATTAGTGTAATAATAGATGCGGTAATTCATAGTAATACGTGGAAATCTGTTATTTATGTGTATGACAATGCTAGGTATTCAAAACAATGATAAAATGGATCCCTGAACTTAATTAAGTAGTTATTTATTGCATATTTTGAACTAGTTTCCTCCTAATAATACACAATATTGTAATTTACCTGTGTATACATGTGTAGTCAGCCTTAGGATTAATTGAATTACATGAAACTCACAATAGCGCAACATTTATCGATTCGCTGTTCATGTTTAATAACCTGTCAAGTTATCGTGGAGCGAGCTTTACGACTTATTCTTAGACCTTGGTGTTATACTCTTGGTCAAATGCAGGAGCTATTATGGAATCAACAGTTCCGTCATAATTGTAACAAATCACAAAGAACTGGATTTTTATGGTGCTGTTAATAAAGTTTCATACATACTTTAGTACGTTTTTGTACAATCATTGTTGCGCGTTAAGTAAGTTATATAACAGGAATTGTTAACACGAGGTCTAGTGGATGTGGTTAGCGATGCTTGGCCTCTAGCCGCAAGAGTATTGTATTTCTTTTTAAATAAAATCCAATACGGAACAGGACAGATTTATAACATTAACGCATTGTACGTGTACCTAACACGTACAATGCGTTAATGTTATAAATCTATAACAAACAAGTTTGTTATGCTAAAATTTAAATACTAAGAAAAAAATTAAATAATTTTCTATTATTATATATCTAGTGTTATTAAAAAGTAAAAGTTGTAATGTAAGAACAGTTGTAATTACTCTACCTAATCTGATGTTACGTATAGCGGAGAAGTAAGGCGCTTGTGGAATTATATAGAACCAGTAGAAGTAAAAAGAAAGGTTTTACAGCCAAGATGTTTAAAAACTATAATTTTTCAAATACAAAATGACTACAACTTTTAACGGTAAATTTTTTTTTTTTTCTGTTTGATAAGATATTTAACTCAATAATTACACCATTATTTATAAAATATTTAAAAAGCACGACCAACTTCACTGTGAATATTATAATGCCGTATAGTACTATTTGAATTACCTCCTTTCTAAAGAGAGGACTATGTCCAGCAGTGGACTATAAGTTGCCCACAGGAAACGACTGGAAATGAAATACTAATTACTTTCACATTCGTGATGTGTAGGTACTTGTGAATTGTTACAGGATTTTAATTAGGATAATGCACGTGTGCAACCAAAATTCGTGAGTACACTTTCACACGACCGGAAACTCTGCGTCCGTCTCGTTTACAGACAGGATTCGGGTTTCTGTGCTACCTATCACATGTACACACCATGTAAGGAGTGAACATTTTATGTACTCGATGTGTACCTGCCCGAATGATTTGTAAGCCGATAGCTATTTCTGGTATACCAAATATTCCTGCTTTCCTTTTCAACTGTTGATTCATGATAAACAAATTGCGGTTATTTAAACACTTTGTTTGAACATTATACTCTTAATAGAATGTTTGTAACAATATCTTGAGTAATTTATTAATGACTAGCTTTCGCTCGTGGCTTTACTCGCGTAAATGTAAATTTCGTCAACAAGTTAAAAAAAACTAGCAGAAAGTTAAGCTCTGTCCTTTTTATATGTGCGAAATTCTATTGGATTCAGATTGGTTGAGTGGACTCATACAAGGCGTAAAAGTTTAGAACACAGTCATATTGCCATTTATAATTTTACTAATGATAATTATAAGAATACTATATGTGGTACTATTTTAATTATTGGCAACCTTGATAATTCGGTATATTATGCATAAAAGGAATGTTTAACTTTGATGTCGATAGTGAAGATAATTTAGTAAAGATAATGAGTGCTAGCATGAGTTTCGGAGTGTTAACTTGTTTCGACGTATACAGATTACAGTAAATAAAAATAATATGAGAGAAGGTTGCTAATAATAAAACACTACCCGGGTCTTTCTGTACATTGGTGTAAATTCTAGTGAACCAGTCAATCCCGTAGAGGCCGTGAACTTAGATTACATGAGTCATTGATTAAGTGTTATGTCACTGAGGACCACGACGTTATTTTCTGCGAGTATGTGTAATGAGTATTATAGGACAACAATATGTTTATTATAGATGGTGACTAATAAAAGAGAAAAATCCATGTTATCATAAAACAGTAAAATTATCTAATTTTAAAATTAAGACAGTTCGTTTACAAGTACAATTAATTAAAATATTGGCAGACCAAAGATATATAATGGCTATAAAGTGACTAACTAAATACTACTTACCATTTGCTGTGGGTTTCTAGGCTTGCGATGAGCTCTCGGCACCTTGAGCCCAGTGACGCCCTCCAGCACATCCGCCAGAAGCAGGCCGTCTGCACAATCTCTTGCCAGACCCCCTCCAGATGCACCTGCTCTTCTTCGGGACCTTGCTCGCATCCAGGAGTGGTTTCGCCCAATCCGTATAGATCTAGTGACAAAAAAAATATTTAAATGGAAGTTGCCTTAGTACGAAAAGTTGGCTAGTTGCCTTAGTACGAAAAGAAATTAAGAGAAATGAGTTTGTCATATCTGATTCTGGTTCTGATCTATTTGATTTTTTGAATCAAACTCCTTCGAGGTATGACAAACTCATAGATATACATATATCATCACGAGATATGACATTGTTGATTATATTCCAAAGCTCTCCTCCAAACCAAAGATTCAGTAAAATAGAAATTGTAGCTTGTAATATTATATATTTCTTAAGTTCGGATGTCTTCCCAGGGCTTTCATCTGCTTAGGAAAAAAAGTTCTTACAAAAAGTAATAATTTAAAAAATTTAAATACCGATTGCAAAAAGTCAATTTAAAAGTAATGCACTTAAAAGACCGAAACAGCACGAGGTAAACACAAACATGGCCCATTTTCATCCCCGACGAGGGGTGTTATACCTAAGTTTAATCTGTGTATCTGTGTGTGTGTGGCATCATAGCTGCCAAACGGAGAGACCAATTTTTTTTGTTCGAAAGCCTATGTGATCGAGATGGTTCTTAGCTATTAATTTTGAAGATCATCAGTTCGCTTCCTAGGCGATGGAAGGATCTCACTAAAATCCACAGGTCCAATTGATTTGAAATTTGGTATACTGTAACTTTGATGGTATTTCCACGACATGGTGACATGAACTTGCTACTGCATCAAGCAGTCTGCGGGATAGTCAACTCCTCAGAAAATTACAGCATATACATATATCATGTTTGAGCTTTAAAAAAAAAGAAATCCCTATTAAATTAAAATATATAAGTTATACAATATTTTTGTAATCCCCTTTTAATTTTTCTTTATTTTAAGACCCTACTCAATAGGTCAATATTGCGCCAAAAATCCGCCATTTTGTTTTTTCTTTCAAAAAGCCATCTAATTACACTTGGGTTTTTGAGATGGATAAAAAAATACCTTAACTGTTGAAATCCATCCAGCCATTTAGAAGATACAAGATAATAAAGAAATTTACAAACATACACACAAGATACGCGCGCAAACATAACCCTTGCTTGGCAGTCGGGTAATGATAATTATACAAACAATCAAACAGGGAAGAATCTCTGAATGCAAACCTTTTAAAAGAAAATTTAAACGGGCTTGTAAAATATTACAACCGCTAATTTATATAGTACTCGTGGCTTTAATTGCAAAAATGTGGGTTTAATCTTTATGGAATGGTGTAAACTGTAATGTATCATTACTGGTGAGCAATGAAAATTTACTTAAATAATAAAGAAAGATATGTGCTTCAGTTATTAAAAAACAGACACTAAATCAGGTGATTGACTTCAACAACGCCATTAACAGTCCGTCTGGTAAGCTTCGGGTAAACAATGTCCGCAGTGCGATGACTCACAAAGACTCACAAGCGCGGCCGATAAGGTTTGAAAGGCCATGAGATACGAAATTGCTACTAAAACTTTAACGACAAATTCACATACAGTGCTTTAACACAATATGAGCCGATAAATATAAACTCCATGAGAGAAGAATCCAAGAAGATATAAACTACGCTCATACATTGTCATTTGCTCTGAAACTCTGAATCATCCAAAAGACTTTAAAAAAGGTTAAAGATTTGTGAAGATCGTTACCTAATGTAAGAAAAAGTCTATTGTATTCAACTTTACGGTTTGAGGTCATCCATAAGTTAATAAGTGAGTGTTATGCTCGGCGCTATGAATTCTTAAAAGGATTTAGTCATATTTGAGTCAATTTGCAGGAGAATGGGGACAAGTGGCGCAGACGCGACTCGGTGTCGCCTCTCGGGGTCGGCCTTCGCAAGTACTGGATAATACCATAGCTATAGTAGTTGTAGTTATTTAGATACCTATGTGTGAGCGAATGGAGTACTACTAATCCACTCGCTCATCTTACACACTAATGGTTCTCGTAGTTAATATCATTTAATGATTTGCTTTTCCGATTACATACTTTTTCTTGTGACTCTAACTTATTTATTAACTTAAAATATGGTCCTTCTGTTGACTTGAGTAATTACATAGTAATAACTTCATAACCGACTTTCTTAGAAAAACTTAAAAGAAAGTCTGTTATGACTCTTTGTTGCTGTAACTGTGGCCCGCCGAACAATAATTGATTACCTACATTATTTTACATGGATAATCTCCATATGAAACGTAGAGAGGTACTTTTTAGTGAAAGGTAAGGTTTAGATATAAAACTACTTTTAAAGTTGGGGCGAACAGCGGACGGGACGAAATGGCAGAGCGGTGTATGGTCCTGGAATGTATTATAGCCGAACGCTGATGCAACATATGCCATCTATATTAACATGTACATTAGAACCTACTTACATCGTGTCACTATCAAGCCCCGTCTAAGGTCTGCCCATGATTGCATTAGGCTCAAATATTCCTTCAAACATCTATCTACTTCGTTTTACATGACTTATATCAGACTCATTGCTAGAGGAGTGTGCGCTAAGAAGTTCTCAAAGGAAACAAATGTGACAAGATTTGCTAAAAATAAGCAGTAGGTACCTACACCTGTTTTTGAAATTTAGAATTTTATATTTTAGATCTATTTGTTACTTCAAGACGTAATTTTTTTAAAGGAATTAACATTGTCCCAGCGGTAACATTGAAGAATTCACAACTTTTAAGTATTATGAACATAAGTTGTATTATAAACCTTTCATTTTTAATTTCTTATTCTTTGCATACATAAATAACAGGTTTTAAAAACAATTGATTGGTTTGTGAAATCGAACTGGGTAAATCATCGGGTTTAATTCGCTTTGTGTATAGTGTCATTCTTCCAAAAACCCAGGGTGCTAATGAAAACTTTAATAACAAAGGCATCGTTACGTTAAAACAAGAGGAAATAGTATAAACACAAAACGAATTGTTTCAAAAAGTACACCCATTGGCAGATGTTCGAAGAAGAGAAAAAGAAAATGAGTTTCATATTTCGATTCTTTGAACAGAGTACATACCTATGGAGATGTGAAGGAAAATTAAGTTTAAATTAAGATGTATATAGTAAGAAACAAGAACTAAAGGAATAGGTAGTCTTAGTTTCGAAATATGATCAGCTTCAATGACCTGCTATTTTTATCAATAAATCTGGAGTTTTTTTTAAAAAAAAGCTTATTATTGATTAATTTGAAGTAAGAAGTAATTGAGTAGTGCTGTTAGAAGTAATCGAGTACTTATTAGTATTACTCGTAGTAGGTAAGGGAGAAATAACTTAATTGATATCAAATTTTCGGCACAATTCAAGATAATTCAGTACCCGATGTTCAAATTTTAATATGTACTAGCTGAATAAACAGAATTGAAAAACCGGTGCACTAAGGCTTCGATTCCCGGACCGGGAAAAATTAAAAGGGTTTTTCTGAAAGGAAAAATAGCCTAAGTTACTCCTTATATAGACAACTACCTGGTAGTAAAATATTATCAAAATCGGTCCATCCGGCTTACAAGATTACTCGAACAAACAGACAGACAGACAAAAAAAAATAAACTGGTTTTTAGGCATAGGTATCGTGCAGATAACTGTGTGAGCAAGCACCTATTATTTTGACATTACAAACAGACCTTAATTTTATTTATTTGTATGGATATCTAATTTAGTTGTCATAAGGTAACACAATAAATTACAAAGAATTATTAATTTTTTGTTCGTGTGTTATCTCCTATGTCCTCTTTACTATTTATTATTTACATAAAATATTTGCAGCGGTTGCAGTGTGTACAACAGCTCTCAAAGCAAAGTCTTGTGGTATGCACAAGTGTGTTTACTTTTTATATGTATGTATGGGATTTGAAACCGCAACCTCTTGAGGCGCGAGTCCGACACCCGATCAACTACATTGATAAACTACCTTACATGGGAATATAATATATTAAAGATACAAATATACTTTATCTATTATAATATACTTGGATACAGCAATTCCTCGCGGTTTCGTTTGCGTTAAAGTCTTTTTTTTGTGTACAAAACAAAACTTTTTTTTAAGTTGTTATACAGCGTGTGAGTTTAACAGAAAGACCAAGTTACTTAATATTTATGATACTAATATAGATTCATATATTGCAATACATTTTTTTTTGTTTTTGGCTTAGACTTAGGCTTTATAAAAACAAAGTAAATAGCAGAATTCATCAACACGTCACTATCACTTCAGCATGTTGTTTCATTCTATGCAAATATGCACAAAATTGGCTAATATCAAGGTATTGTAGGGTAGAGGCACTGGATTTCTTTTAACATGGCTTGAGCTAGTATGGAATGTCTTATAATAATAAAAAACCCTCCTTGCTATCAATAGCATCTTGTAATGCATTCCGTCTTTGTACATCTTACGATGCATGGCCCATTTATATTGATATCCATACATTAAGTGACAATACGTGTTTTTTAATAAACAAATCCATAGTCCATACCTCGTGTACCGATTGTAGAAACAAGATTACCTATACTGAAAAACTATTACCATAAATCAATATTCCCCGATCTTATCTGTTAATCGAACACGTTAATAGAATAATCATGGCTCATTTATTAGAGGTGTTCCGACCAAAGGTTTGTCGTCTCAATTCTTCTTATCACACGGCTGTTTATTCAAATCGGTTTGAATAGCTTTCGATTGTAATAAATCTAGTGAGGAGACATTTTTATCGACGTAAGCTGCTATATCGGGAATAGCTCGTATCCGCTTCTGTTGATGGTGAGTTTAGTTTGCTTTATAATACCGCCGCTATATTGATTCTAAGAGACATCTTATCCAAATGTTTGTGTTCATCTTTATAAATATTTTGAAGTCAATGGCAACCTGAAATAATTTTGCGCGTTGATATAATTCTTAATGTTTTTGATTATTTGGATCTTGATATCAACTAATTATAGAATTTTATATTGTCGATTATTTACAGCATATCTATTTAAATAAAAATGTTTAATACATATGAAGTA